GAAACATGTATTATTATTATTATTATCAATATTTAAAACAGTTGAGTACATTTTTTCAGGATTCTTTGATGAATAGAAAGATCAGCATTTATCTGAAATAAAAAGCTTTTGTAACATTATAAACTATAATGGGGGGCGGGGTTATAGAAATTAATACTTTTACTTAGCAAGGATGTTTTAATGATGATAAAGACATTTATAATGTTACAAAAAAATAATATTTCAGGTAAATGCTGTTCTGTTGACTTTTTATTTGTAGTTGTTCAAATGAAGTTCTTAGCAATGCATATTACTAATCAAACATTTAGTTTTGATATATTTATGGTAGGAAACTTACTAAATATCTTCAAGGAACATGATCTTTACTTAATATCCAGTGTATTTAAACTTTATTTGGAGTTCTTCTTGTGCACAATGAAAATGCCTTAATCTTAAGCCTAAAATGTGTTTTAATGTCACAAATTAATGAGGATTGTATGATCTTTGAATGATATCAGTCTTTAAATGCAAGATATTTAAAGTGTACCTGAAGTATGCTTGCAATAGTTTCACTTTAACACAATCAAATATACTTCAGTATATCTTTAGTTCTACTTAAAGTGAATTAAAAAATTAGTTGTTCCAATTTAGCAGACTTTAACTATACCAGTTTATTATACTAAAAGTACAATTTCAGGGTATTTTTATTAAGTACATAATTGTGTCCCTGCAGCACAAAAGCAGTGTTAAGTCGCTGGGGGATATTTGTAGCAATCAAATATTGTCCGATCCTAACAAACCATACATCAATGGAAAGATTATTTATTATAAATCTCAATTTCAAAAGATTGACCCTTATGACTGGTTTTGTGCTCCAGGGTCACAAATATGTAGATGTATTTGTAGTATCATATTAGTATATTTATTTTTCACTAGGGTTACTATACTTGGCCTTCACGTCATTTATCAACTGAGAAACTCAAAATCCGAAACGTCCACCTCGTTTCTAAGAGATGCACGACAAATGAAAACAATGTTTTAAAATCAGCTCAAAATTTCAAGCAGTTTTGAGTTTTTTTGAGTCTGCATGAACGCAGGTTTCAGTGAAATCTGTCAACTGTCGACTACCCAAAATCTGCAGACTGGCTCTGAATTTTGGCAACAATCGCCAACAAATCGGAGGAAGAATCTGTGCAAAATTCGTGTAGCCTGTTCCAGCCTTACAATGTCAATTAGAAGATCCACTGTAGTGATGTTCTGACTCATTGTTGATGACCTACAGGAGCAAGCCTCGTGGGTGTGCCAGTGTGAAGAGGGCTTGGTTCAACGCCTCGAGCAGGACTTCAAGGCCACCCTCCAGCAGCAGAGCTCCTTGGAACAGTGGGCAGCTTGGCTGGATAACGTGGTCACTCAAATGCTCAAGCCGTACGAGGATAAACCCACCCTCCCCAAAGCTGCACGCCAGTTCCTGCTCAAGTGGTCCTTCTACAGGCAAGACTTTTAGGCTGTTTTCACACTGGGTTCGATTGTTTGGGTTGAAAACATGCTGGAATCTCCATGATCTCACCCACCAAATGAACCAATCTTACTGAAGTCCGCACCAGAATCTCTCCCACACACAGAAAGGATTGGTTCACTTCTAAAAAATTTCCCGAAAATGTACTCATCCGAGATGTTCATGTCATTCTTTCTTCAGTTGAAAAGAAATTAATTTGAGGAAAACGTTCCAGGATTTTTCTACTGTACATAGAGTGGACTTCAGTGGTGCTCAACGGATCGAAGGTTAAAAATGCAGCTTCAAAGGGCTCTACACGATCCCAGCCGAGGAATAAGGGTCTTATCTAGCAAAACGATCAGTCATTTTCTTAAAAAAACAACAAAAAAAAGTATATACTTTAACCACAATTGCTCATCTTGCACTAGCTCTGCTTGCGAATGCGTGTCTTCACGCTTTGCGTAATCATGTTGGAAACATCACTCGTAGTTCGCTCTTTGTCTGTGCACTTTGGTTCAAAAAGGTAGGCTAGGGTTAAAAACTCAACCTCATTTTCTCCTCAACTTCAAAATAGTCAGTCATTGTTGTTTTACCTTTTTTGACTTTCTTTGCACATTCGCTTTGTAAGCACTGGGTCGGTATTTCTGCCTGCATGCGTAATTACGTAATACATGGTCAAACTATTGCAAGATGAGCATTTGTGGTTGAAAATTATATACATTTATTTATTTCTTTTTAGAAAATGACCGATCGTTTTGCTAGATAAGAGCCTTATTCCTTGGCTGGGGTTGTGTAGAGCCCTTTGAAGCTGCATGGAAACTGCATCTTGGACCTTTAACCCCATTGAAGTCCACTATATGGAGAAAAATCCTGGAATGTTTTCCTCAAAAACCATAATTTCTTTTCGACAGAAAGACATGAACATCTTGGATGACATGGGGGCGAGTAAATTATCGGGAATTTTTTCTTCTGAAAGTGAACTACTCCTTTAAGAGCAAAGTGTCAACGCTACTTTTTATTTATTTTTTACTCATCAATGTTTGTCTACAAAACCAGCACTGGCTCCGCACCCCTTTACCTAAACTCATTACTTCAGAGTTATGTGCCTCTAGAAGCTTGCGTTCTGCAAGTCAACGTCGATTTATTGTGATTACAAAATCATTTTCACAGACTTTTAACACTTGCACTCTTTGTTTTCTAACACGAGCCTTCTCTATTATTTTTCTATTCTATCTACTTGTTTTCTTTTTGTTATGTATGTGTAAGGAATAACTGACGACGGGCCGTTGAATTATTAGAAAAATAATGCACACCGAGGTGGTGATGCGGCCACGACGCGAAGCGGAATAGCAGATTAATGCAGATAATAACTAAGTTATTCGAGACCGAGAAAGAGAGAGAGCATGTGTGAGTTTGTGCGTCTCTCAAAAGTGTTCGGTTAATGTCTCTAACGTTACTAATAATGAAACTTTAAGTTAATTTTCTTCACTAACAGCGTCGTTGTTACCTCGCTTGTGAGTAACTTACTGTTACTGATAAAATCGTCGGAGTAGCGGAGTTACAACATGAGCGCGTATGTTAACGTGTGTGCAAAGTGTATGTGCGTCTGTGAGAGAGAAATAGAGTATGTGCTTTCCGTGCATAAAACGTAATTTTGTGGCAAAAACATGGAAAATGATCTGTTGTTTTTATCATATTGCTTACTATATTGATTTGTTTGACCAGTGTCGTCGTGGATTTTGGATATTTTGCTGTTAAGACCTTTGAAATAACAGAAATCATTTGGCGGAGTGATATGGTCGTGTGATGCGGTCAGAGCTGCCTGGAACTACGTTCGCCGTGCATTTGCCTGAAAATAATTGCACACCTTTGAACGTTCGTCAGCCAATCAGATTCAAGCATTCAACGGCCGTGTAGTATAAATATATATATAAACCTTGCGATGTGTACTGCGTTAGGCTAACAGACAATTATAGCACTTGCATATCATTGCTCTTTTGTTGGTTTTGATTGCTTCTATTGTCATCATTTGGATAAAAGCGTCTGCTAAATGATTAAATGTAAATGTACGTTTTACTTGCATGTTTTGTCGGTCTCTTACAGCTCTATGGTCATCAGAGACTTGACCCTTCGCAGCGCTGCGAGTTTCGGCTCTTTCCACTTGATCCGGCTGCTGTATGACGAGTACATGTTCTATCTGGTGGAGCACCGCGTCGCACAGGCCACAGGAGAGACGCCCATCAGAGTTATGGGAGAGGTAAGGACTGTTTATGTAGCTCAGCCTGAGCTGTAAAGAGCCATGAAGTCAGTCTCTCTCTCTCTAATCGCCATTTCTTTGTGCTGCTCCATCTATCGCAGTTTCAGGACCTGAATACCATGTCACCTGCCAACATCGACAAAGGTAAGCTCAGACTGCAAGCTGAGACCTCAATACACCCAGAGTTACATAATTACAGTCCAGACTAACAAGCGCAGCCACTTTAGACCAGTAGGGGATTTTGTTGCTTTCCTTTGAGAGACAAGATTGCTGGATGAGCCATTACTCTACAAACACTGTACTGTTTGTGTTCCTCCATCATAAGGCAATTTTTGGTAGATCGTGATTCATCATTACACATTACGTTTTCCTTTTTGGCTGACGTCACGAATCCCTCTTAATTTGTTAAACTCATGTCATTCTGAGTAGGGATGCACGATATTATCGGACCAATATCGGCCGATAATGGCTTTAAATGTAAATATCGGCCCGATATGAAAAATTATGCCGATATGTCTTGCCGATAAGAGGAATACATTAACTCACTTGTGCTCAGGGTGTGCTAGCGATTAGATCACATCAGCAAATCATTCTTGAAGCACAGTTTTGCCTGAATGATGAATAGATTCACGGTTTTGGAATGCTGCATTTAAACTGATAAAGCAGGTACAGAATGACGTGTTTAGTGTGTGATCCTATGGTCCTAAAGCTCGTTCGGTAAAGAGTTTTAATTCTGTAGGGGGCGCTGTTGGCCTACTTCTAATAAAATGAAAGCAAAATACACAAATAATATTTGTGTTTCTGATTAAATAAAGCAGTAGTTGATGCCATAAAATCATGAGTATGTTTTGATTTAAAGGTCAGAAACTATAGCTTACATGAACTAAAAAAATAAATATAATCACAAACATGACACTTAAATTAAATAATTTTATATATACTGATTTATTCATTAATGTGTAATATGTTATATTTTTTAAGCAAATTATGAGCTCTATAAGATTTTCAGAGTTTTTACAACTCTTTTGCTTTAGACCATCTACTAATGTTAAATCTTAAAATAAAATGTTAAGGTTACCACTGCATCTTTCTGGAAAAAAAATAAAAATGCAAATCTTATTTTCAAATCTTCAATGTACTGTCATTATGAAAGAACTTTATTATTGTTTATTTAATTCTAACAAATAAGTTCTTGTTAAAAACTAACCAAAATGAAAAATAATTATATATCGGTATCTGTATCGGCTATCGGCCAAAATGAGTTTAAAATTATCGGCATATTGGATATCGGCAAAAATCCAATCTCGTGCATGCCTAATTCTGACTAATAGAGACCATGCTGGTGGTCCGTTGTAGAATAAGTTGTCCATTTTTATCTTTATAAATAAAATCAAGCTACATTGCCATACATTTTTCTTTTTGTTTAAAGGGATAGTTCACCCAAAAATGAAGATTAAGGCATCGTTTACTCACCCTTTTGCTGTTTAATACAGTATGCCTTTCTGTCATTTCGGACAACAAAAGAGATTTTATTTTTTTTAAATGTCCTGTGCAAGCTATTTAAGGGTGTATTCACACCAGGAAAGTCTGCTAGTTCACTTGCGTTGGTCCGGACCAAATACAATGCTGATTTTTTATTTTTTATTTTTGGTGTGGTTCACTTTCACACTGCCCTTTTTGCAAGTGAACCAGAAATTGTAACCAAAACCACATTTATGCTAAGGTCATCCATTCAGAGTTCGGACCGAGTCCACCTCTTCAGCTGGCGAGTGCGATTGCTGTGTTCACACCTGCCCAAAAGATCCACACCAAGGGGGAAACGAACTTGAATTCACCCTAAAAAAGACGCTATAGTATCACAGAATGGTCCCCACAGAATCCAGAGTATTCTGCAGGTATACGATGAAAAGACAAACTGAAATGTAATGTTATTTAATGAATGGTCTCAGCCTCGGGACTGTTGGCTGAACGTCTGGTGCGTGTAGCACACAAAATTGGAAACACTTCAGGAGTTTCGAAGTTGTCGTCGGATGCTGTGGCCATCTAGTGGTCATAAAAATGAATAACACCTTCCAAAGCGCTGAGTTCCATTACAGCTGCTAGTTTCACATCTGGTCCTACAAATGATTTTTTTGTTTTATTTTATATAAATAATGGTCATTGTCAAAGTCATTCATTTGTGTCGGTGTACTACCACTAAAATAAGTCAAATAAATCAAACATAAATTAAATCTGTGATCTGTCTGTTTTAACTCTGCAGTCCTTCGTGGGCAAAGTTCATTTGAGCTTAATGTATAAATTACGATTTAAAAAGCAATGCTAACGCATTATAATGTAATATAATGAAACTTTCACTGCAAAAAATTATTCTCTTACTCTTGTGTTCTAGTATAAATATCTAAACATTCTTGAATCAAGATGCATTTACTGTACAAGTGAAATAACTTAAGATATTATATCTTGTTTTGTGTAAAAAAAAAATATATAAAAAATTATTATTCTTTTATGCCAAAAATCATTAGGATGTTAAGTAAAGATCATGTTCCATGAAGATATTTAGTAAATGTCCTACCGTAAATATATTAAAACTTAATGTTTGATTAGTAATATGCATTGCTAAGAACTTCATTTGAACAACTTTAAAGATGATTTTCTCAATATTTAGATGTTTTTGCACCCTCAGATTCCAGATTTTCAAATAGTTGTATCTCAGCCAAATATTGTCCTATTTATTTATTCAGCTTTCAGATGATGCATAAATCTCCATTTCAGAAAATGTACTCTTGTGACTGGTTTTGTGCTGCAGGGTCAAATGTCTTAAAGTCATTTCACTTGTACAGTAAATGCATCTTGATTCAAGAATGTTTAGATATTTATACTAGAAAACAAGACAGAAATACTAAGTAAGAAAATCATTTTTTGCAGTGAATTCAAATTGCATTACTGAAGTGAAATGGGTTGTGAATGACATTCTTCTTTCTGGTGTGTGCTAGACGAGGTGAGCGAGATGGACAGTGATTTGGACGAGGAGATGGAGGAGTCCGACGAGCCTCTAACCAAGCGGGAGAAAGCGGAGCCGGAGGTCATCCAGGTGCTGCAGGTGGGAGCGATGGAGGACGGCAGCAGCGCGGTGGTGAGCGTGGTTCAACCCAGCATGCTCAGCGCTCTGCCCTCGACCGCCGGCAGTCACACCGAGCACATCCTCAGCTCCAGCGGAACCAGCACCATCCGCCACTGCGGCAGCATGGGAAACACATACGCCTCGGTCTGAAAGCCCGTCCGTTTCTGTGCTCTCAGTGCCATCCGTCTCCAAAACATCCAGTCTTATCCTTAGAGAAAACGGAAGAGACTCGCATCCGCAGAGCTCCAGTAAATCAACTTTAGGATGTGATGAGATGCTGATTGTAAAGTTTAAAGCCCTAATGTTCCCAGGTGAAAAACGGTGCACTTCCATAATCTACTGAAAGTGCTCTAATTCTGTACTTAATATACTAAAAATGACTCTTCAGTACTTCTTAAGATCATCTAAGTACTATTTTGGGACACCACGAATATAAACTAAAATGCATTTTTAAAATACACTGCAAAAAATGATTTTGTTACTTAGTCTTGTTTTCTAGTATAAATATCTAAACACTCTTGAATCAACTGTACAAGTGAAATGATTAAAGATATTAAGTCTTGTTTTCTAAAAAACAAATTATCAAACTTTTTTGTTTTTCCGTAAAAAACAAAATATCTGCCAATGGGGTAAGAAAAGTAATCTTAATTCAAAGGATAAACAAGATTATTTTTCTTGCTGCATTGGCAGATATTTTGTGCTTGTTTTAAGGAAAAACTAAAAAAATTGTGAATTATTATTTTTTTTTTGTTGCAGAAAACAAGACATAATATCTTAAGTCATTTCACTTGTACAGTAAATTCATCTTGATTCAAGAATGTTTAGATATTTATACTAGAAAACAAGACAGAAATACTGAGTAACAAAATCATTTTTTGCAGCGTACTATCTCTGTATTTAAAAAATGTATTTAGCTACCACTTGTAGTACACTTTCATACACTAGCACACTCAAGTGTACTACAAGCGGTGACTAAATACATTTTTTAAATACAGAAACAGTAGTTCACATTCATGGTGTCCTAAAATAGCACAGTTGAGTACACTTAGGTGATCTTAAGTTTAAGTACTAAAGAATCATTTTTAGTATATTAAGAACAAAATTAGTGCGTGAAAATAGTGCACTTTATGGAAGTGTACTTCTTTTTTCACCTGGGTTAAAAGAAAACATTTGTGGCTGACCCAGAGCTCAAATCCAAGCCACTAGTTACGTATCATTTGCCTAGTCGATATTGATGACGTCTCTGTTACTGTACTGGTCATTGTTTACAGTTTTGTTTAGAACATGTGATTGGCTCTTTGGTTAAGAAGTGGAAAGTCTCGCTGTGTAACTGTGCTGCTATAATCGAAGCAGGCTAGACAACTTGTCCGAGTGTTTCCAATTGCCTTCTGTTTGCAGATTTAGTCGTTTGGTAGCTTGAAAATGAGTTTGTTTGTTTTTGGTCATTGTACATATATGCTGCATGTGTGAACTGCATTGTGGGTCTTTTCTTTTTACTAATTGGACCAAAAACACAAGTGTGAGACACCAGGCTGTCCCGGGCCATTTCGAAGCTTTGTTGCAGAACAGAGTGAATGTCAGGGATTTTATGTACCTCGGGTTCATCTTAGTGCCTTAACCCAAACAACAGCTTTTCATTTGTTCTGAAGCGGTGAAGCGACACCGAGGAGGCCGCTCGTGTCTGTACGGAGAACCACACCGCTAGAGAATATTCATAGTATATCCGCGGTTTGCTCTAACACACAGTAACGCTCCCTAGTCGCCTCAGTCGTCAGGTGAAGCGATGTGTGTGTGAAAGCGTGGATTTGGCCGAGGTGTGTATCTCGTCGCTCTACCTCACTTAAACACAAATCCTGACGGGATCGCGTCTCTTATTTGCTGACCCGTATGTTGTCATTTTACTTTCATTTGAGTTCACATCAGCTGCCCTCCTCAACACAGTTCGTGGACCAAACGCTGATAAATATTAGTATAGATAAAGAGTTTATAAGTTGGGTCTCGTTCACAAACAAGCGGATTTCAGTCTCAAAACATTGACGTAAATTGTACTACTAAATATTTTGATAAATGCATGTTATTTTTTTGTGTGCTTGTAAACGATTAATCGCATCCAAAATAAGGTTTTGTTTACATAATATATGTGTGTGTGCTGTGTATATTTATTATGTATATGTGTATATATAAGTACACACAAATACATGTGTATAATTCTATTCATATAATTTACAATATATTATATATTTATTATGTAAACATAATATTTTTCTTAAATATATACATGTGTATTCATTTATATATATATATATATGAAGAGTTAATTTGCAGATAACTG